AAGCATACATATAACTTAAAATCTCTATCTTTCTAAGTGTGTTTCAATAATTAGAACATACTATTCTATGTTCTAATTAGAACATATAAAAATTAAACATATTTGTAAAAATTAGAACATATTTGTGTGCTTCAGGGAACCACACGAAACCAAACTGAAGGACAATACTTCACTGATACCAACCTTCCACGACACATCTGTTTTGAATAAAGTAAGGACCACCCCCTGAGATGGTCCATTTTCCAAGTGGAGGAATTTGTTTGCTTAGAAAATGCAACATTCCAGTTTCAATCCCACTGTCTCCACTATTTCCAGGGGCTATTTTACAAGCTGGCCAGTCAGGTCTGGGCTATGTAAATATCCCAAGCAAAACCCGTATTATCCAGAGGATTGCTCTTCGAATTTTTCTCCTGGTGCTTTTATTCAACAGTCTTCTGCTGCTACTATTGCAGCTGTTGATGATTTTTTACCACAGTTTGCTGAGGCTATTTACAAATTATGCTCCACAGGCAGGATTCCTCACAGTGTGCCCGAAGAATTTGGCTCTCACTATCATTGCCACATCAGAAGTTTTCTGTTATATTGTGGGGTAGTTTTGCTTGTCCAGCAAAGTGCAGTGATGCTGCTTCAAGGTCATTTTGCCTCCCCAATCCCCACATCTAATTAAGTGGGAACTGGAAATACAGTGTTTCTCTTTTACCTGACCAAGCTTTCCCTCCAGTCCCTGTGGGCAAGAGCTTGGCAACTGCAGGTCTACTGACCACAGGCCTGGGTGGGGAGTCACATGCCAACCCGTTTTCATTCAAGTTCAGGGTTCTGTCTCAAACATTTCCCATAGCAGGACATCTAATCTGCCCGTTCCCTGCAAAATGGGGACCATAAGATTCTTTCCACTGACTCCTCTTTCCTTAGACTCTAGGTTTATGTCTGTGAGTGAGTCTGGAACCTTCCCTCTGACCTCTTCTAAACCCCGCTGAAGATCAGGCACACGTGGAAGGCCCTATGACCCTTCTGTACTTATCACTGAGAATCAAAGTCAAATATAAATTTTTATAAGTGTGCTCTGTGTTATTGCCTGAATTGGAATAGTATAAAATAGGACTGATTCAATGATGCTTATAGATTGATATTAAAAAATTTGTTTTATCCTTGTATTTCATATATACTCTACATAAAATGGCAGACTAAGTTTTGTATGTCTTACATAGTGAGGACAGTTTGAGGGCACAGATAGAAACCAGAATTTCTTATTCCCTTTACCAGCTTTATTAATTACCAGACTGAACTCTACCATAGCAGGGGCATTGTATTATTCATTTTTGTATGTCCAGAGCATGGCATAAAGCCTGGTACATAATGACTCTCAGATTGTTAAACTGAAATAATACATCTTTGTTTCACCCTTTCCAAATGTAGCCTTTTTTCTTTTTTTTTTTGGGGGGGTTGTATTTGACCTATCCTAGTTCTGCTTTCAGTTCTAGGGCGTAATTAACTATGAGATCCCATAGAGAGCAACTGCGGAGATTCTGCTCCCTTTTACAGGAATCAGCACGTCCATGCTTCTTCCTCGTCACTGAGCCAGATGAACCAGGTGTGTGTGTGTGTGTGGCACAACTCCAACTACAACTGAGGGAATACCTTGGTTTGGCAGGCTTACGATGCTTATACCTGCTTTTAGCAATAGTTGGGAGTGGCCTTTCTAAAGGAGCTTATCATCACTCAGTGTGACTTAGGTAGAAAAGGGGACATGTGATGCTTTTGAGGAAACCCTGTGGAAAATTTTACAGCAGATATAAAACAGAAGAGTTGCCTCAGGGCAGACTCTAATATTAGACTAGGAAAACATGGCTTCTGGAGTGAATTATTTACCAAGATGGCTGCCAACAATTTTTCCCATCTTTGTACACACATTCCATTCTCCCTGTCAAATGATGAAGCCTATGATTCCATCTTCTTGAATTGGGGCCAGCTTTCTGACTTGCTTTGACCGTGAGTGATGCTGTGTGACTTCTGGGCCTAGGCCTTAAAGGCCTTATGGCTTTTGTTTTTATCCTCTCAGAAACCAGGTACCATGTAAAGAAGTCTGGGCTATCCTGCTAAGAGGCCACATGGAGAGACAGAGGCCCTGGAAGATAAAGAGTCCATGTGGAGGAGAAATTAGGCTTCCCAGTTGACAGGCAGCACCAACTGCCAGACAGGTGAATAAGGCCATCTTGGATCCTTCATCCACAGTTGAGCCTACCGGCCAACACCACATAGAGCATAGATGAGCCATCTTGTTGAGCCCTGCTTGAATGTCTACCCCAAAGAGTCATGAACAACAAAATGATTGTCATTAACGTTTGCGGTTATGCAGCCACAGATAACTGAAAGAGCTCCGAGGACTGGCCAGGTGATAGTGTGACTCCTGTTGGCATCTGTGTGGTGTCTTTGTTTCTTAGGGCAGTGGCCCTAACTGCATGCATTCCCAGTGAAGTTTGAGATCACCTCAGCGCGACAGAACATGAGAACGCCTTGTCAGGTTTTCCTGCCTGTGGACCACGTAGAGGAAGGGCAGGCTCTCAACCCAGAGCCGCTCCAATACTTCCACCTGGTTGGGCTTGGCACCCGGAAAGCACAAAGATAAAAGAAGGAATCACCAGCAGAGTGAGATCAAGATTTCTGAGGCGTGTGCCAGTGAGAGTGAGTTGGTAAGAAAGGGCACTGAGGAGGTCCTGGATAAATTTCTAGTTTAAATTGCCGGACTGGCTTTGCAGGTGGTGCTTGAGGATTGAGGCTGTGATGCTAAATTTGGATGTGATGACTCTCAGGATGGGATTCCTGTCTTGTTCTTTGCCTGTTAATCTGGTCTGTCTAGTGGGGAGACCCAGCCTTACTCATATCAGTCTCTTTTCCTGGGGATTCATTTCTGGCCTGAAACACAGCCTGGTAGCTCTGCCCCATGCTGCCAGTGTTCCAGCTTGCCTGCATCACTGGATATCACCTGTTCAGGACTTTGTCCTGCTTGTCTGTCCAAACCCCTCTTCTCTCCCTGCTAAGACCTTCCTGCTTGCCCGGACTACCACCTGTTGTTTGCTGACATCTGTATGGTACCATGTTCCATCTGTTTTCTTCACTTCCTTATAGCTCTTGATTTTTCTACCTTCAGTTCTTGTCAGGCCCTCACCGAATCTGCTCCATTACATTGAAATGTTGGGGCCAAGTAAGACAGTCCAAAACACCAAGTCTAATTCTTCTTCCACACAACGGCCTTTAAATATTTGATAGCAACTTTTCTATCACCTTTAATCATCTCTTTAGGCTGAATCTTGCTGGCTCCCACATTATCGAGGTCACCCATCTATGGATATAATATAGCTTGTCAATATTCCTTTTAAAAGATGTCATATGGAAGTGATTCACATGCTTCAACAGAGAACATAGCAAGGGTATCATTTCCTATGATAAGGGCATGTTTCATATTTCATTAATTATGCCTACATTTGTACTATTATTTTGTATTAGCATTTTAAAGGGTTTCCAACAGGGATAGGGCAAGGTTTTATAGGCCCTAAAACTTATAAAACTTTAGGGACTCTCTTTAATAAAAAAAATTTTTTTTTGGAAATATACAGTTAGTTTCAAGGCCTATGAAAATGAGGGATCCTGAAGCTTAAGTTTTGTAAGTTTCATTGTAAATCAGCCTCAAAGTTCCTGATAGTATTGTCTGGTAAAACTCCTGGCTCTTCTTTACCAGAAACTGCTATCTAATCAGGTTTCCTCTCTGTATTAGTGCACCTTATAAAGTTTAACTTGGGTGCTTAGCATATGAGAGATCAAGTAAATTAACACACCTGACGGGCTTAGAACAATGTCTAACACATTGAGCATGCAATAAATGGTAACTGTTGTTATTTGTATTACTAGCAGGACCTTAGCAAATAATTTATCTTCCTCTTAATTTCCTCTTTGATGTAATAGAGATAATATTTGCCCTTCCTTTTTCATCGAGTTATTGTGATCAAATGATATGTGAATGTGCTTTCTTAATTGAAATGCATCATATACATGGAAGGTATTGTAACTGAGGTTCCATCTGACATTGTTAATTTTAGAAAAGGTTATGTTTGGGAAAGAAAAGAATACATACTTTGGCCGAGGTGGAGTCACTAAAGACCTCAGTAGAGGTGGGAGGAGGCAAAGGACTAGAGGTGCATGTGTGGCAGGTGCTGGAAGCAATGACCTGCACATGCCCTTCCACATGCCAACATTCAGAAAAAATGAAGTGGAATCTGAAAGAGGTATGATTATACAAAAGAATAGGACAGGGGGTATTTGTGTGTGTGTGTGTGTGTGTGTGTGTGTGTGTGTGTGTGTGTGTGTCTTTCCACAACTGGCTTTGACCTAGGTCTCCAGCCTCTTCTTCAGCCTGCTCTGCAATCCAGGCTCCCAGGCCTTGCCTGGAGAAATCCTACTCACACTAAGTTCAGCATAAAAGCTCCTCCTTCTTGGGGTTTCCCCAATTCCGCCTGTCCTTCCTACAGGAAGAATAAATGGTTCCGTTTCAATGCCCTCTCTGTGAAAGCACTTCTACTCTAGACTGAGCGAGACCCAGTTTTCCTGATTTCTGTCTCCAGGGCCTAGCTGCTTCTGCCACTAAATAGGTGTTCAATAAACGTTTAGTCAACGCATTCACTTTGGAAAAACAACCTTTAAAAGTTGAGAAAAAGGGCATCTAAGGTCGAGACCCCCGGGTAAGAACGCCTTGCACACAGGCATTAGCAGAAGTTATCCCGGGGAGCAGCTGAGGGTGAGAGACCCTCCCACCCTAGGGTACCCAGCGTCCGCTCTTAGTGAATCCCGCCCCCGCCGACGCGGGAGCGTGGCCTGGCGCTGGGGGCGTGGCGCGGCCCGAGGGGGTTTCCGTGCTGGGGGCGCGTCCGGCAGGGGCGCGGGAGGGGCTTCCGCCGCGAGGGGGCGGGGCTGGCGCGTCGAGTTCTTTGACGGCCCCAGCCAGGGAATTTCAATTTGAAACCTAGAGGAGGGAGGAGGCGGGAGCGGCGGCCGGGCGGCTGGGGCAGAAGCGAGACGGGTCCCCGCGGCGAGCGAGCTCCGGAGGTGAGGTGTCCGGGTGAGGAGGAGTGCGGGGCTGCGGAACGGCGGGGCTGGGGCGGAGGAGCCGGGACAGACTGACCAGTCCCTACGGAGCTGCAGGGGCGGCTCGGATTTTTCCTCTGGCTGCAGCTGGGAAGCTGATCCTGGGCAGGAAGCGGTGGCGGGACGGTCCCACCGTGGGGGAGGGCGGCCGGCTTTGGGGTTTTCTGCAGCTCCCTCTCTCCTCTACCCGCGCTGTGCCGGACCCCATCCCCTCTCCGGAGCCCGGGTCCTGTTGCTCCAGGCTAGATCCCCGCTTCGCCGCTCCCCCGTGGTCCCCCTGTGGTCCTCCTCTGCCCCCTTGCCGGGAGCCCGGGCCGAGTCTCATCGTATTCGGGAGAGGTGGGGGCTTGATGAGGACGGTGCCAGCTCCGCCGAGGTGCTGTGGGCTCAGGATCGCGCGTCCCCATCCCCGAAGAGCTGCTAGAGGAGGCATCCGGCTCCATCCTAGGCGAGGGCCGCTGCGCGAGAGCCGGTCCGGGCTAGGAGCGGCCGCCCGCCTTCGGCCCCTGGCGATGTGCGAGGGGTCTCCGGGGACGTGGCGGCGCCCTACAGGAGGATGATTTTGGGAGAGGAAACGCGGGGAAGGACGCCGCGCCTCTCTGAGCGGTCGGCGCGCGTGGGCACGGCGGGGAGCGGGGCGAGGGCCGCGTGCCAGCCCCATGCGCCCCGCGGGTTCGGCCCTGTGTCCGCCCGCGCCCGGGCGGAGAGGGACTCAAGCTTTGCGCTCTGATCTTTAAAATTCCGACACCCAACCATCTCACCGCAGATGGCTTTTATTCTGCCTCCGGGGCTGGGAACATTTTTAGGTGAGCTGCAGGAGAAGGACGAGGAGGAGAGGAGAATGGAGCGGGCAGATTTGGAATTGGCGTCCGGGGCCACATCCTCAGCCCCAGACGCCCAGCAGCCGGGAGGGATGTCTGTGTAGGGACGTCGGTCATTATGCTTCCCAAGATCGCTAACCTCCCCTGAGGTCAGGTTTTTTTGGTGAGGTTAAAAAAGCTCTGGCTTAGTCTGTTATTTTTGGGAGGGGTCTCTATGTGGAGTCTTCCCTGCTGCCCGAGACGCCTTAAATTGAATTTCCCCATCACCGCAACCGTTGCCCGTTTTTAAGAGCCCTGGGTGGGTGGGAGAGAAGGTGGATACATATTTTTCTCTTTTCTGAATCACATCTTAACCTCACTTTCTTGAACTTTTTGCATCTGAATGGCATGTGTGTGCCAGGAGTCCTATTCTTCTTTGTTACTGTTATTTAAGCTTTTTTTCTTTTAAAATGACTCACAGTTTTTCTTTTATTCTTCGTTTTTTTCCCCCAGTTCTTTCTTTACTTTTCCCCTTGTTTTTATTCTTCTCTCATCGGAATCAATTATTTTTTACAGTCTCTATTTATAGTACTGTGTTGAGAATTAGCATTTTAGTTGGTGTCCTATCTCATTACCCCTTGGGTTTAGCACTTGAGGGGAACTGAGTCAATTTCTTGGTCGCAGGAGCTGGGATTTAGAATTCTCAGCTCGGAACAGGTTTTACTGGGAAACAAATAGCACGACACTTAATCCTATTCAGTTTCCATTTGCAGGCTCATTGCTGTGAGAAATCACTGGGCTGCTGTTGCAGCCACTGATGGGGCTGCATTGCAATGCAATCTAGAATTGTGAAAAAGGTCAACCCATCAGGCTGACACACCTTTTAAAGAGCATGACTGTCACCTGCAGAGCTTAAGTGATCAGCCCTGTAATTCAAATTTGAGAACTACCATCAAACTTCAGATATCTACTGTTTGGAGGTTTTTGGATAACTGTATATTCGGTTTGGAACAATGGCATGGATTTAGGGTTAATTTAATCCTCTCCTGTCTTCTTCACTCTTTGGGCAGAATTCCCACTGAAGTCAGTAGTGGTCTTGTGTGCAGAAGGACTGCTGAGAACAAGAGGCTGCTCATTTAGAGTAACGGGAAGGGACTGTTTCTTTCCTTTTTAAAACATCCCTCTTTAAGAAAGACCTAGTCATAACAGTTCTTTAATCTTTTACCTCTAGTTGAAGTAGTTAGAGCACTGTGTACAAAGACCTTCCAGAGAAAAATATATGGATGAGTTGAACCCTGAACCTCAAATTCTTGATATCTGAATTGGATGGGAATTGCTTAAAATGATTAAAAGCGATAAAAAAAATCATTAGTTAACAAACTAAAATTTCATTTCAGTAAAATTATTATTAAGTTGTGTAAAAATTTTCAACTGCTATGGGATATTTTCAGCTTAGTATGTATATTAAACTGGGTATGTATACAATTGGGTATGTATATTAAAATCTGAAATTTAATTCAAAGTAGAAATCAAATTTGCAGATTTAAGGGACGAATCTGAAGAGAGGTCCACCAGAAAATAACTATGCACATAAAAAAACAAGGAAATTCAGGTAGCTCTTACTGTATTTGGAGAGTCAGTACAGTTTTTGCATGTAGTGACTATCTGGGCCCATGGTTAAATTTGTGAGCACTTGGAGGTTTCCAAGTTAGTTTTGTGCTGATCTGAGTTGGTGAGCTTGTTAGAGCCTTTGCTTCTTAATGTAACATTCTTGTGGTTCACCCTTTTCAAATTACTAGTTATAAAGAATTGAGTTTAGAAAACCTATTGAATCACCAGATTTTAAAAATAGATTTTTAAAAATCATAACCATGTCCACGTGTACTACCCAACCACTTGCTTTCAACTAAAAATACTTGCAAAGATGACAAAGCAGTCCTCAACCAAAATATTTATTGGTAAAATTACTCTGTAATTAGTAATATTGTATAGTTATGTTTAGCATCAGGTTTTGCTCTGAATCACTACTCTCATATTACTGTGGTAGGGAACAACAAAGGTTCTGTCTTTGCCATTTTATTTAAGAATGTGGGGTTTATATTTTATATGACAGAATGCTAAATATTTTTGAAAATTTGACTTTGTTTCTGTTTCCACAGGAAAGTATATGCCTTTTTCTTTGTTTTTTATTTATTTTTATTTTTTATTTTGTTTTTGTTTTTGAACTGAAGTAACCTGTTTAAAAGCTGTGTGTGGACTTTTTGAGAAGTATGAATTTCTAGTATTTTTGTAAGGCAATAAAATAGTTTATAGGGATCAATAGAGCAGAGAGTCAAATTTTGCATTTCTGAAATCTGTGTTGTTCACGCGGAGATAGCAAAGGAAATGTTCCTACCTTCCTCTTCCCCCTTTTAGAAACATTTCCAGTGGCCTTGTTGTTTACTTCTTCAGATTCAGAATTACTGTATTTAACCACTGGGTACCCTTACAGATTTAAAAGCCTCAAGTAAATGTTTATGCTGGCTTTAGTAGTCAGCAAATACTAGCCAAACCTTAATTTACTGCCCTTTTATAGAATCTTGGAATCTCAGGGCTAGAACTTTAGGAGTCAGCAAATCCATTTTCAGCCCTTGCCCTTTCCCCCCAACATACAAACATTATCAGCCTCTTTGGACGGCCTGAGTTAATAGAAGATTTGTAGAGGATTCCTCCAGATTCCAGACAGGGCATCCTTTGGGAATGCCATGTTTTGGCACAAACCAGCAACTTGATATTCTTAGGATTTCTATCATTCTCTGACTAGGCAGTGCCTCAGACTAAAATCTAAAATGGAGTCTACGCCTGGTGCCATTAACTATAGGGAATGGCTTCCAAGTATAAATAATGTAGTCATTTAGAAGTTATAGGTAAGCCAAAAAGTAAAGAAAGAAATCATCTCTAATATTAGCTAGAAATAATTGATGGTGATAACCATTGTGTTTTCTTTTTATAAAGTGTATGTTTGTATATTTTGTATGAGAGGAAATATGAGAGAGGGAACTTCCCCTCACTCATACAAAATACATACATACACACTTTAAAACATACATTTATTTGTGATGTGAAGCACCTATATCATTGCTTGTAGTTAATAAATTTGATGAATCAATTTGTTGAACTTCTATATAATTTAATATATAATAATAAGACTCTTTTGAAAGTTGGAGTTGACTTTATAGAACCTGGCATTATTATATGTAGAAATGTCATGTACGTAGTATTTCATATAGAGGATTTCTTATTTTTCTACTGAATGTTGTTTCCCCTTGTTTTGTGGTTGGCTTGAGATCTGTGTGGGTTTCTTAGATGTGTGTTTTTCATGTCTAGAAGAGTAGATAATCTCTATATATTTCCCTAAATACCTAGTGTTGGGATGGTATTTATTTTAATGAGAATTTCAGTGATTTCTTTTAAAATTCTTATTTTTATAAGTGTTTTTGTTTTGTCTCTTACCCCTTAGTATAGGGATAGAACTCATGTGGCCTATGAGTGCATACATACTCCTGGTTTTTGTTTTGTTTTGTTTTGTTTCCCAGAGATTAAAACTGGGCTAATTTCATATTGTCAGTGACTTTAAAAATGAAAATATGTTTTCTTTTCACAGATACTTCCTTCCACTTTGGTATTTTTTCCACTTTGGCATATTAGAGTCATAAAGGTATAAATGTATATAGATTGCTTCCCAAATGATCTTTATAGTAATAGGGAATAGGGAATTTGAGGAATAAGAATTATCTTTTTATTCACTCTGAGAATTATCTTAAATAAGGTTTCCTTTAGGTAGCCAAGCTGACATTTATATATGTAACTAAGTTCCATGTCGTGGGGATGGTTTTAGTTCTTTCCAGTTTAAGAACCAGAGGGCATGGAAAGGTTTCCAAAGTGACTTTGTCGCTGTTCATCTGCAGAACCTCATTGTCTAGGTCAGGTAGGGAAGTTCATTGTATCTAACTAAATCTTTCATGCTATTATAGAAACCCCAGTTTTCTTTTGCTTTCCTCTTTTTTATCGCCTCACTATCACCTCCATGAAAGAATTTTCAAATACTTAAAAGACTTATATTACCCTCTAATTGCCCCAAATTCAGGGGTTCTGACCTGATGAACGTCAGAGCTAGACTCA